CAAGGTCATGAGTTTAATTCCTGGTACCCTACTTCCCCCCCAAAAAAGTATTTTACTGATTTAAAGGCTCAAGCATGTTCAAACCCCTGCAAAACTATGTACTGCAGCTTTAGTTTTTCCAATCCAAGAAGGCAGGGCAGTTAACCTTTCTGGTGCCAACAGGAAATTCAAATGTTTTTATGTCTTCTTACCTGCTTTGTAGATTAAAAATATTTCTGAGTAGTAGTTATCTGATAGGTAAACCATGTTTTCCTTGCTTCAAAATAAATATTTCTGGTTTTGTGAAACAAGCTATAAAATATGTCTCAATTCTTCCAATAAATGAGTAAAGATTCATCCTTAATCCTTGCTAGTGAAGTCTGCCTGAGTCACTTTCCTAACAACGTCTTTATTAACCCAGTATTTCACACATCCATCAGCTTATGCAGGTAAAAGCAGAGGTATATTTGGACCCTGCTTGTAGTTCTAGTGACAGCTTTCCTTGCTGAGACCCTCGTAGCATCTTGTATCTTAAAGTTTCATGAATTTTTGCTGGAAGGATGATCAAGATGTAATTCTTTTTTTTTTTCTTTTAGTACCAGGAATCAAACTCAGGATCTTGCATATGGCAGGCAGGTGCTGTGCTGCTGAGGTATCTCCAGTGATCAAGATATATAAAGGGCAAAATGCTATGACTTCTGCCTAAAGCTTTTGTTTTCTTGGTTACTAATAGTAGTAGATACTTCTTTTTAAAATATTCTCTCAAGATCCTTGAAACTTCTTGAAAAAAAATTTTCTTTTTTTTTTTTTTTGGTAATATGTTCTGATCTCATGCCGTACCGCGTACCGAACACACGACCTTGAGACAGGTCTCACTATGCAGTCAGGCTGGTCTTAAACTCACTTTGTATCCCAGGCTGGCCTCAAACTTGCAACGATCCTCCTGCCTCCCAAGTTCTGGGATTACAGGCACGTGCCACCATACCCGGCTTAACTTCTTGAAAATTATGAAATAGTGACAGGAGAAAAAGAATAGTTACGTATGTTTTATTTTTGAAATTTGAATAAGAGTCAGTATGAAAATTTAAAAGTCCTTTATAGAATACCCAGGATTTACATTTTCGTGACAGATCTGTTGTTTATAGGGAATGGGGTATTTTACTATGGAAAGACATTGTAAGTGATATTCCTTGAAAGCATTGTAAATTTAAAGGAGAATTTCAAAAATTAAGTAATGACTGCTCTGCTTTCTGTTTTATTCTGTAAATTGTGACTCTCCTTTGCACTGCCTTCCATTTAGGATTGGTTATGTGGTCGTTAGGTTGAATTTGATCTGTGTACATAAGCACTGCATTGAAATTTACATTTAGAGCACTCTGTAAGGGAAAGGCTTTTGCTGTTCTGGGACCCTCAGTGCATTAAAACTCTTTTTTTTAAAAGCTGTGTGTTTAAAATTAAGCAAGACCTTTTTTCCCTCTCTATGAGTTGTAAAATTTAAAGCATGAAGCTGATGTGACTAACAAGTTTGGTAAGAATTATTTACAGATGTTGTTGTTTGGGTTCTTAAAATCACTCAGTACTCCAACTTTCAATTGAATTTTTTGGGAGACTTACCAGAGTTTCTTGGCATGCACTACAAAACAAAACAAAACACAAACAAAACACCACTCAATCCTTTCCATCTAATTCTGCAAAAACTGATCACGTGCAGGTCAAAAATACAACCAGATCCAAATCTCCACTCCCTCAGGAGCTCTCAGGATCTGCACGTGCACCTTTCTTTTCTGTCTCTGGTGGCTGGGACCAAGACAGAAGCCCCAGCTGGAAGGAAGGCCACGGCGGTAGAAAGCTGGTCAAGGCAGACAGGAAGCAGAGAAGGGGCCAAGGACGACACATAACTGCAATGACATACTCCATCCATGGAGACTCATGGAGACCCAGGCTCCTAACGAACCCACATAGAAATGAATGCATCAGTAGTTCCATCCACACAGTGAGGTTAGCGCTCCCAGAAGGATGGGTGAACATGATCAGCATGAGCTTTCTGCACATAGGGAAATATCACTGTGAATCCCATTAACATGTACACTTAATATATGCCAAGAAAAATACATTTAAAAGAAAAGATAATATAGGGAAAATACTGATATGGGCAGGGGTTTTCTGGGTAGGACCATAAAAGCACAAGGAAGAATAACAAAATGGACATATGTGGTTATATCACAGTAAATATCTCCTGTACAGCGAAGAAAACAATCAACATAGAGAAGGGACAACCTATAAAATGAGAGAAAATACTGAGCAAATCCATCTGACTGAGGATTAATATCTGCAATATATAAATAACTCAAAAAACTTACCAGCAATACAGTAAGTAATTCAATTAAAATAGGCAAATAGTATGAAGGCTTCTCAAAGTAAGAAATACAATGGTCAGCAAATACATATATGAGAAAATGCTCAATAACATTAGCCATCAGGAAATGCAAATAAACACTACAATCATCTAACTCCAGCATAAATTCTACAAATATATTCTTCGAAGTAGCACTATTCTTCTCAGCTACTTTTATGGTTGGACCTTAAATGTCCCCCAAAATCTCATGTGTTGAAGGCTTGGTCCCCAAAGTAGCAGTGTTCAGGGGTGAGGTCATTGAGCACTGATTGGACTAGGAGGTTTGGTCTTGCCAGTGTACTAACAACCCACTGACAGAGTCACAGCTCAACGGTGCACTGGGAGGTGACAGCAACTATGAGGTGGGATGTAGCTGGAGAGAGGAATTATGGGTGTGCCCTGAAGGGTACATGTGTCTCTGACCCCTTCCTCTCTCTTTGCTTACTGGTTGCTATGAGCTGAGCAGCTTCTTCTACCACTCCCTCCCTCCCCTGTGGTGTTCTTCCTCACCACAAGCCAGGAATACAGAGCCAAGTGACCAGGGACTGAAACCTCTGAAACCATGTGCCTTTAAATCTTTCCTCCTTGAAGTTGTTCATCTCAGGTATTTTGTGACAGCAACACAAAGCTGACCACCCCTCTACTGCAGGTTCTGGAATTTTAATTTGCTTTTAAAAAATTTTTAAATAGGAATGGCCTTTATGCTAATATAATTAACAGACTCAAGAAACATGGAATGATTACTTAAACTTTCATTGATAACTTAGTCTAATGAGTATAAAAGTTAACTGATTACCAAACATGCACCCATATTATTTAGAACAATATCCATTTACTGCGTCAGTAAGTAAAAATGCAGAGTTCCATTTGATAGGTATACTTAACTGTATCTTCATTGTTAGATGTTTTTGTGAACGTAGCCATTGGCCTTTCTTCCATGCCAGACTGAAAGAGCTGAAACACAGAGCCATAAACTTTCTTCAAATTTACTTAGAAAAATTATATTCCTAACATAGAACTACATAGGTGTCTAATACAGGCTTTATCAAAAGTTTTAGCTATTCATTAACACTATTGCCCTGTTAGTTGTACTTACCTTCCTACATGGGCTTCTACATAATAAATAATATGTAATATTCATCATATAGAGTGATACACTCAACCACACAAAAACGTTCTAAGAAAAGTAAACTCCCACTTGAAATCGAAAGGACAAAGATCATTTTTCTTTTTAAAGGACTGTCTGGCATGAGAAAGGGAAATAGAGAATTTTACTTTAAAATGAGATAAAACAAGGACGAAGACACTCATAATTACTTAATTCTCCAGGCTAACTCTCCTGGCAAGACTAGGATATTAGAGTACAACCTTTGAAGGAGAACTGGTAAATTAGAGCTCAGAAAATCCAAACAAGTCCCTTAGGAAGTGAACTAAAATAATAATTCTCATGTATGAAGTCCCTGCTAGGTACTTACGTACTTTACCTCGTTTGCACTTGAAGTAGACCTGACCTATACGTATTTTCATTGCCATATACCCAGGAAAAAACATCAGGCTCAGAAAGATGAAGTAACTTACTTGTCCAGAGTTCCAGCTACGCAGAGGATGCAGCTGAAGGCTCCAAAGCTTGCGTCCTTCCTCTGCCCACGAGCGCGACTGAATTACTTATTCACAACCTTTGCAACAGTTGGGAACAAGGGAGGAGAGGCCCAGAGAGCACCCTGTGCTGACTTCCTACCAGAACTGTCCGAGAAGGTCACGCTACCCTACTTTTGAGCACAGCACAATGATACTAAGAAGCTGAGGCACATTTTTAGAAGAAACATTATGTATAAATACAGCAAAAAGAGCAAATTGGCTGTGTTCCACGGTCTCTTCACCTGATCTATCCTGAAGATTACCCTCTTTTAGTACATAAATTTATCTCATTTTCCTTGAAGTCAATAACATCCTTTGATATAGACAATGTTCTGTTCTACTGTACGGCTCACTCTATTCTAGGATACACGAAATTTCTGTATTTATCTAGCAGAAATTCAATGTTGGGCATTGCAGTGATCTCCAGTCCCCTACTGCACCCAACAATAAGCATTTAAACCCTGGCAGAGAGGCTGCTTCTCTGCTTCCTCAGTTTACCCTCCCTCATAGTTGGCAGGAACTGCAAATTCAAGGGTCTCTGTTCTCGCTATGACTGATGTGGTTTGGGCAAGGCTGCTAAAGAGTGAAAGCTGGAGTTATAAAATAGCTTGCATTCAAAAGCCTAATCACTAATGCATTAAAAAAAAAAAAAAAAAAAAAAAAGATGTGTTTTTCCCTCACGTAAGTCTAGAGCCTAAGTTCTCAAAGCACAGTCCCTGGGCCTCTGGTGTTCCTAAGACTCTTTCAAGAAGCCCATGAGGTCAACTCGTTCCCGCTAACACAAGGGTACGATTTGCCTTTTCACTGTGTTAAGCTTTACACTGAAGGTTCACAGGCAGCCGTCATCAACGCAGGGCACAAAGTAGGTCTTTGCATTATTCACTATATGCAACTGCAAAGGATGTAAGGAAAGTGAGTATCCACAGCGCGCTTATATTGTACACAAGTGTGAGAGGAAAGCAAGTACTGTGATAGATTGAGTCATGAGAAATAGCAGCTCCTTTTTCTGGATCATTTTTCATTGCAAGAACAATGGACAAACACTGGTTACTCAGGCTTAGGTATTTTTATTACATACAGTTCTTGAAAACCAAGTGCGGGGGCCAGGGATATAGCTCAGTGGCACAGCGCCTGCCTCACAAGTGTGAGGTCATGGGTTCGATTCCTAATACCAAAAAAAGAAAAAAAAAAAGAAAAAAGAAAACAAAGTGCTGTTTACAATACCACGAAAAAGAACTGGATGCAAGACTGTGGGACTGAGGCTCCCAGCACTCACCTCCTCCTCCACAGAGAATATGAAAGTAGCCAGGGGTGTTGATGCAAGCCTGTAATCCCAGAGCTCGGGGAGGCTGAAACAGGAAGACGACAAGTTTGAGCCAGTTTGGGGAATTTAGTGTCTTACCAAGACCCTGTCTCAAAATAAAAAGTAAAAAAGAGCTGGGATGTAGCTCAGTGTAAAGGTTCTGGGTTAAATCCCCAGTGCTACAAAAAAGGAAGAAAAGGAAGGGAAGGAAAAGAAAGGAAAAAAAAATTAAAAAGAGAAGGGAGAGGAGGGGAGGGGAGGGGAGGGGAGGGAGGGGACAGGATGCAAGGGGAGGGGAGGGCAGGAAGAAGTAGGAAAGGAAAAGGAACAAATGCATAGCTGCATTTTGAGGTGAATGATCCTGAGAGAACTCTGGAAATCAGCAAGAGATTAGCAACTTGAAAGATTCAAAGATGCAGCCAACAGCACAGACACAAAATATCCTTCCATCTGCCCTCTGTAACTTCACACGGGGCGGGCGACTCCCCTCTGCCAGGGTAAAGAGGAAAGAGTCCAGGCAAACTCCCCCAGCACGGGTGCTGACCGCCTTGCTACCGGAAATGTCAGAGCCCTCACAGGCCAGGAGCCCACTTAAATAAGCAACCTGACATCTGAGAAGTTGCCTAAGTCATCGCCTCACAAACCCCCAGGGTGCTGTAGCCGGAAGCCACCTTGAGAAGGGAGCTGCTGTCTCCTCACCAGCGGTCAGTGCCAGCCCTAAAGGCAGCGCCCAGGCAGCTCCTGCTGCCTGCCCAGCCCCACACTCCCGCAGCTGTAACTGCAGAGCTGGGAAGGCCAGGGTCCCCAGGGAAGCCCTCCCACAAGGCCCTGTTGAGGCCGTCTCCAGCACTCTCTAGCTGTTGCCCAGGGTGGGTGCACAGGACAGCTGAAGGCGTTGGGGGAAAGCCAGACTTCAGCCACAAACCTCCCGCAGCCAAAGATGGCCTAGGGAACTCTGCCAGCCCAAGTCCCACTCCAGGGCATGCACTGCCGCAGAGAGCACCTCCTGCCAGCACCCGCCCCCAGCCTTGTCTGACCACGCCTTCCTGCAAAACCTGGACGAGCCCCCCAGAAGGGCCATGCCATTCCCGCCACCACCTCCCCTGGGCCTGCGTCGTGGACGAGGTAGAGGACAAGAGCTGGGGCCACCACTGCCAGAGCCGAAGAGCTGGTGACAACAGTGCCTGAGGAAACCCCCACCCCCGCCAGGGTCCACCCCTCCCGCTGTGGCCACAGAACGAGCACCAGGCACCACCACCGTGCGCTGTCTGCAGTGTCCTCGCTCTGCACAGCCCACAGATACAGTGGGTCTCTTGATTCCGCCATAGAATATGCTATGTCCACGGTCATTAGCTACAGCCGAAGAAGCTGCAGGGTGATGGACGCTTAAGGCCCAGTTGGAAACTCAATGTTGCATAATGAACCAACATCTAAGACACATCTTCAGAAGAAAGCACTTCCTAAGAAAGCTACCTCGGGGCTGGGGATTTAGCTCAGCGGCAAAAGCGCCTGCCTGGCAAGCGCAAGGTCGTGAGTTTGGTTCCCGGTACCGGAAAAAAACCAAAAAAAAAAAGAAAGCTACCTCATAAAAGGGTTAGAGATATCTTAGGTTTTTATGGGTGTTCAAGGTTTTTATGGGTGGTCATCTTCTTCTATGAAATAGATTTTCATATGAAAATCTCAAAACAAAAGCACAAGACGTATGAAAAAAACAAGGTCATATGCTACTTCCCATAGACCTTAGTGACACTCTACCAACACAGCCCAAAGGAATGGAACATGTGAAACAGCTGGGAAAGAATTTTAAAAACGATTCTATGAAACCTCAGTGAGATCCAAGATGTAGACTTAAATGAAAGTAGGAAGACAATGCAGAGGAAGAATGAAAAATTCAGCAGAGATTTTGAAAAAGAAATGAATGAAACTGAAATCAAGGAAATGAATAATTCAGTAAGTCCAATAACAATACAGTAGAAAGCCTTGTGACAGACTAGCTCAGGTCATGTGGAATAAAGGCTGTCTGAACTTGAAGACGACTCTTGGGACATCCCAGTCACCCACAGAGGTCAGGGACAGAGCCAGGGACTCCGTGTGAGATGTCATAATGAGGGACTCTGGTCCTGCCGGTGGAGGCCGTGCTCAGACCAAAGTTCTGTTTTAAGGGATCAGTGAGGCTAAAGTAGGAAGGAGGTTTCTCACCTACGATAACCTAAGAGCAGTAGAAACAGGAAGGATAGCCAAGTCAAAATCCACTTAAAAATCTGAGTCGCTGGGCGTGGTGGCACACACCTGTAATCTCAGCACTCGGGAGGCCAAGGCACGAGGATCATTGTGAATTTAAGCCTGGTCTGAACTACCAAGGCCCTGTCTCAAAAAAAAAAAATCTGCAATTTGACAGAAAACCAAGTGTAAATGAGGAAAACAGGGCCAAAGTAAAGAACTGAGTGTGAATCAGACAGACTGGGGTAGGTTAGCCTGGCTTCACGGGCCAAATCAGAAAAAAAGTAATTCAGTATCTGCATAGGAAGAAGTATAGCAGTCAAAGATTTGCTAAAGTAAGCAAGCAGGGCGCTGGAGGAGGTACATCAGCAGCAGGGAGCTAAGACGCTATCGCTAATAATGTTACTACACAACAATTAGGACAAGAAATCCGTTTGTAAGGGGATAATTCAAACAAGAGAATATTACACTGATCAAGTGTTTTGAAATGTTTAACTCACTGATAGAATGCCACAAATAAAAGTATGATGTAAGCTGTAGAAGGAGAACATGGGTGAGATCCTGGGTCCAGAAATGTAGGAATGCGAAAAGGACATCAAAGAGCTTCTGGAAAGCACCATGCTGCACAGCGGAACACCGAGGCCACCGGAAACAGTGTGCAGGAGAATCAGGAAGAGGAGGAGGAGAAGCAGGAGGGGGCCGGGCCAGCTGGAAGGTCCAGCTGGAAGCAGCGGCTCCACGCCCAGGGTGGAAGAAACGTGCCAGGAGGTCAAGGCAACACAATCAAGGCAACAAACCATCCCGGACTTTTAGCCACTGCACTGCATGCGACAGGGTTAGGGCACATCTCCAAGAAAGCGATTTTAGCAGCACCGGCTAGGAGCGGGGTTGGATCCCAAAGTGAGCAAGAGAATCAGAAATGAAGTTGTGGGGTCAGTCGGTAACTTTAAAG